TTAGAATGATTTTTCCCTATATAAAATACCCTTGACTCCTATATATAAATCATCATAACCCCAAAACCATAAATACTTTGCATATGGCGTATCTAGTTTCGATTCCCCGGTTGTACGTGACAGGGAGTAGGGTCACCCGTCCAACCTCGTGGGATTTTTCTCTGGGTCCTCCGGTTTCCTTCAAATAAAATTGAACCATGTGTTAGTCCCGAAATTACTTAATATGTGGCTAGTGGACGTTACCCCCCCCCCCCGCATATCTCCCTCAGTAGGCCTACATAGATATTTTTTTATAGACATTAGATATGAAGTGGGATAGATTTTTTTATGTTTTTTCGTCTATTAATTATTTGAAAATAGTATAATTTAAACTTGAATCATATGGTAATATATCAAATAGTAGCAAAGAGTTTTGTTAACTGGGGTTTTGAGGGTTGTTTTATTTTTGTTTTTTTTTTGTTCTTGGGGTGTTAATTTGAGGCGACATCTAATTGCTTATATTGCCTTACAATAAAATAAACGGGTGGCCGGGCCGCAGCTGTATTTCCCATGCAATGAAAAGAAATTGAATGAATATTATTTTTGTGAATAATAGTATGTTTAAATTATATAACTCGGGCCATTGACAATATTATCATTATTCCAAATATATCTATATAGTATATGTCGCAATAGATCTCACAACGTAGCTCTAATCAATGTTTGTTAATGTCGTGATTTTAAGTTAGGAGAGGGTGACGGCGGCTGTCCTAAGTTAAAATTGATTTTAGTTAAAATTGTCCCTAAATTAGTTTTGTGAAACGCCACTATTTTAAGTTAAGATACAATTTTAACTTACAATATTATTTTAGTGGATTTTATCTAAAATGCTTAAAATCCTTTTGTGAAACGCATCTATCTTAAGTTAGGATGGAATTTTAGTTTAAGACGATTTTAAGGAGATTTAAGTTTTTGTGAAACAGAGCCAGCTCAATAAGTATGACTATACTGTGGGCTAAGATTGGATAGAACGAAGTGAATTAATAAATTAATTTTTTAATAAATTACATCGATACTTGCTGTTTATAAAGCCGTTGTGGTGCCATTTTAAATATCATTCATAGTGGGTTTTTTTCATCTATTTCCTATTATTTCTAGCTTAATTATTGAGTAGAGACAAGCCAATGGATGTACTTGGTTATTGTTTCTTTAATACGCAATGGTGATAATAATTGTGTAGGCCGTATCCAACCGAAATACATATGCTTTAAAAAGTTAATATCTACCGTTTGCTTTTATAACAATTCTATGTGATGCCTTTATCAACGACGTATGTACCAAGTAATATTGTGACGTAACATCATGTTATTATTGTTATTGAACTTCCACTGTATCCACGCCTGGGCCCGATTCCTAGAAAATTCTTAAGCACGTTCTTGTGCTTAGTTTTTAAGTAGACATTGCATTTAAATAAACTTATCTTATTTTGTGTTCCCAGAAAATTCTTAAGAACGGTCTTGTGCTTAGATTTTAAGTAGACTTCAGTGTAAGCACAAGAACGTTATTGTGTGTTCCAAGAAAAAACTTAAGTACAACTTTGTTCTTAAACATTATCACTTTCAGTACAAGTCCCAAGCAAGGTATACGGCTTGCTTACCAACTTTAAGGCTGTTTCTGCTTCAAACAAGATGGCTGACCGTAGCGAGATTTGACGGCATATCCTACATCTTTTGATACCAAAGAGACGATTGAAAGACAGAAAATCCCTTAGAAACATATTCTCAAGAATAATGCTATAGAAAATTTCGCTTCTACCGTGAAACCATTTCATTTATTTACCAATTAGTAAACAACACAAACACACGGGCTACTCTAAGATCAGGCACTCTCACAATCATTCAGACTGTTTGCATGTGCTTGCGGCGTCAAATGCATCTAAATCGACCATTTGCCGAGAAGCAGCCGACCAATTTATGAAGTAATTCGCATACCAAAATTGTTTTTATGAAGTTAGAGAGCATCGTAGTCTCAGTTTACCAGTCACAATGTACTTGACTTAACATAAGAACGGTCTTGAGAATTTTCTAGAGACGGTATTTTATCAAGTTTCTTACGTAAGAAAAAGTGTAGCATGACTTTGTGCTTACTTTAAGAATTTTCTAGGAACCTGGCCCTGGTCACATAATCTTACCATATGTAAAATATCCCCCCACCCCCACCTCGTACCAAACCTCCACAACCCGTCCTTTTCCCCTTGGAAGAAAGATGTTTACATAATGTTTTGAACCGCATATTATAGATTTAAACGTACTGATTAAACTCTACATAGAAAAATAATAATATATTTTTATCCAATAATCATTCCTACATTATATATTTACCTAGCCAGGTCGAAATGACATTTCTTTATAGACATATTAGACCTATGGCGTTTTGTAATAATAATATGATAAAGTGAACTGAATAACCAGCATACCAAGAGGTATTGTGACGTCATATAAAATATTGAAGTCCAATCGGTGCGCATCTATCCGAGGAACAAGACAGTGTTACACCCCCTATTGTAATAAATGTAACAATTGTGATACAATTTATATTATTCCTATTGCAATAAGTGTAACAGTTGTAATACAATTTATCTTAACTCTCTTGTAATACTAACCCCTTTTGTGGGCTAATAATTGAAATTAATGTATTTTGCAAAACATTAAAAATCAACGTCGAATCATAGAATTTTAACAGTTTATGGAATTTGATCACCACTGCCGTATGTATATAAGAAACTAGAAATTATTACGATAGGGATTATGCACAGAAAGTCGTGTGCGAATAGGTTGAGCCTTGGGCTTGTTCTTTTGAAGAGCTTTGTCCCAAGAACAAAAGAAGAAGAAGAACAAAATTACCAATTGTATCCAACACGTTAATTGTACAAGAATACAAGTTACTGTGTTTATGTGTAAGGTGCATGTCTACCATCGATTACTTCATTCTTTATAATACCTGGTAGTAAAGTAAATCGTCCTGTTGCAAAATTTCACGCATTGAATTACCTCTTGTACTCTATAGAATTATCAAGTCATGTTGCTAAGCTACCACCTGCAGCATATTACTGTAAATAGCAACAAAATCATTGTCAGTCTTCTGAATATCAACTAAAACCCTTCAAAGAAACATATATGTACTCTAATTATTTTCAAAAAATCCAACAAAATTTACTATGATGAACGGAGTCCTTTGCTTTTTTTTTATTCCATGAAATTTCAAATCAAATTACAAAAGTAATATTGAGTATTTGCTATTACTAGTGAAAATTGAAATAGTATATTTTCAAGGAATGTATTCAGATTTTACTGCTTGTGAAGACTCGCAGATTCCAGACAAATATTATATGGCTTGCCTAACCTGTGGATTTTTTCTCGGATTCTCCTGTTTCCTCCAGAAAGGCCCAGTGAACAAACGAATTACTAAGATATACCATTTACGAATCCCCAGCTTTTGTCCTGACGGCTTCGACCTATCTCCCCTAGTCGAGGGTGTAAATATTTACGTTTTTTTTTGTGAATTCCGGAAGCTTCGGCGGCCATATCTCCTAACTTATTTTCCATGGATTTGAACTAAAATCCACAGGAATATACTAGTGCTACAACATTTGTCTATTTTTATTGGTTAAACAGCGGCAGCAGAAACGTCACCATTGTTTGTTTGTTAAGCGTTTATCTCAGCTGGTATGTAGGATCTGTGATCTAATGTCGGCCCATAGTTTTCAATTACACGTACTATGGCAATCCATAATCGTTTTTTCTACAGCTTCAGGGATTCATTTACTTTACTTATGTATAGAGAGCTCACTTAGGACTATAACTTCCTTCATTCGACTTTGGTCTAACTTCAACAGGTCATAAGTCAACGGTCAAATAGTGACATACCGTTTCGATCCGACGGTCATCAAACCTCGACATGTTATTATATATTGAAAGAGTTTAACAATAATATTGCTTGTCGTATTTTTGAATCATTCCGCTTTTATTTCCAAATAACACCACAACGAATGTGTGTATATTTCGGAACTTTCAGCTGCAATCGATTAACCATTTCAGCCTGTGAGCGTGTTTGGATGTCAGTCGGTACGAATCGAACATCCCACTCCAGACAGTATACAAATAATACCCTGCTTAAGAAAATACACGCGGATAGAGTCTTGTTCGATTATCATTTATATTCAAAATAACATACAATATAACGCACATTATTGAATTTTTTTTATATTTTATTATTAATCATGTTTTTTTCTAATGCTGTTCAAAAACTAGGTGTAACCAGAAAACAAATGATATTTGACTAAGCTTTAATCTGTGGTGAGAAATGATGAACAATAAGGTTTGTTAAAAGATCCATGTTTCATATTTTCCTTGGGCGGGGCTCTCTCTACTATAAAGACCCACCTTATTCTTCAAGAACATTCTTCAAGAAGATCATTAGTCAAGGTAGAGTATTGATAGACAAGTTTGTTAGCTATGCTTTAGCCATATTTTAGACTTCTATACTACTAATAGTATACGTGAGCAAATTAGGAGCTTCGACAAATACCTTACTTAAGTCTAGTTTCGCACAATCACGAATCGTGCTACAGTTGAAATCATGGTTTTAATCGTGGAGTAATAATGACGATCCTATCAGGTCTTATCATAATCAGTCGTAGCAATCGTGTTGATCGTATCGAAACATATCCGAACGTATCTGCACGTACCAGATCGTTGACCCAATAGGGGACAATCTTATCGTAACGTATCGCACGACAGTGGGACCCTAGCATTAATTTACTTTAAACCACTTTTAAATTCCATTTTGGGAAGATGAAGCATTGTCCAAATTTTAGTGACCGTCTCTCACTGAATGTGGAACAGTGATAATTTTAAAAAACAAAATATACACAAATTCAAATATTTTAATACTTAAAAGTATTCAAAAGTCCTTAAACTGATATGCGACATATTATCTTTATGCAGATATAGAGACCAATATTATGGCGTCAAAGATTTTGCTCCTGGGAGCCATGGTAATGATGCTAGTGGCGATTAATTCCGCCAAAAGGATAAATATAAGACGTCGCCGAGCAACAGACGATGATGCTCTGTGTGGAGGATGTAAAATGTCCAATGGTATAGGGTACAACAACCATCCTACAGATTGTCAAAAGTACATTCAATGTGATTTTTCTACCGAGGGCAGTGTTAAAGCTAACGAGATGCAATGTCCATTGGGCTTATTCTGGGATCAAAACGGATTGACCTGTAACTACCCAGGCATTGTAAGTTGCGTCAACGGTAAGTAGTTTGTTTAAATCACTATTTAATTAAACTCATTGGCGTGTTTTGTCGAATGACAATCTGAATTGATCTGTTCCTGTGTACATCAAAAATTGTATATTTATATGTCGTGTGAATTTGTATCATCACTCATTGTGGGCAATGTCGTCGAACCTATATGTAGCTTTTGTAAAAAAATGTTTCAATTTCTTTTATCTCATATACAGACCCGTGTAAAAATGTTGGTACATTATTCTATAAAATATCTACCAACTGTAGAATGTATCATTCATGCGAAAAGAGATTAACGGCACCAGCTTGCTGTGCCCCTAACTACTCCTTCAGTGTCGTCAACAATCAGTGTGAACCAGATGCTAGATGCACCGAATTATGTCCAGGAGAAGAAGCTGAAGATGAACCTAGTGAGTATAACGGATATTTTTATCAATGTTAGAAGCTTTGATTTGGATCAAAAATAAAAATCTCGTTTTATGTCTTGATATGTTTTGTGGGATAACAATCTGTCTTCTTGAAATTTTAAAACGGATTTGGTTAACAAATCGACTTCGAGTTAATCTTTAATCGGTTAGGGCAAGCCACAATACTAATCGAAATAACACATTAGATTAACCATATTCAATTCTTTATGTAAACCATAAGATTTTCTTACTCACTTTCCTGACACTTTCTCTAAAACTATTTCCAATAATAGATGAGGACGTATGACACTATATGTTATATATAACTCGGTCACTTTTATTACAGTGTTATCAATAAATATATAGTTGTGTTTTTAACGTTCTACATAAATTGTTACTTAGTAAGCCTGTTTTGCCCAGTGCACGATATTCTAAATATAATAGATTAAATAAATTAATATATGTCATACATTTATTTCAACAGCCTGTAATAAACGAAGCATTGTCGGGAAGCTAAGTTCATATGAAGAAAACATACCTGGTCGTGGATGGACGGAGAGATCGTGTGCCCCATATACAGGTTATCGTCATGCTGATTGTGAATGTACGATTGATTTAGTCGTTGCCGGAGCCATCCCTGTTCAACCAGGCAAGAGATTTATTATTCAGGTTTTCACTTGTCCTCTAAAATGTGAAATATTTTAATCTACACTCAAATTATTAGAGACAATTATTTCTAATTGATTTACACGTTAAGGGCAATTTGAAGCAATCTTTCTTTAGGAGGCCGTACTCGGTTCATGGGTCTTTGTACATACATAATTAAGAATTAAAATGCTTCACGTTCATACATTATTATGTAAGATCTACTTCTTTTAAATTTTATTCTTAACTCGATACTGTTATTTGGCTTAGTTCTTTAAATAGATATTGTTTGTTACAAATTTAACGTCCAATACATAAGGCATGATATTAAATAGATGTTGTTTGTTAGTTGTATTTTACGTCCGCTTCCACCGAGGTGATATCGCTTAAGTACTAGCGATGCATACGGACCAGATATTTAGGGATTACATGCTTCACCTGATTTATTATTTCAGCTTGCACCCCTATCGTTCGACTAACCTTTGATGATGGACAAGTGAGAGACGTGTCTGGAAAGTATAATTGGGTACAAAACATTGCTGTTAATGTTAACGACGGATCTGGTTATTTCGGTGTTGCCAGCGGACTTCGCCTTCCGCGATTCTCCAACGCCCCACTAGGCCCCAAATTCATGATAAAGATGAGATACAGAACGGATGGCGCTGTTACTAATCGACAAGCTCTGGTAACTAATCGTGATTGTGGTAAACCAGGTTCTCTAGCTATTCTACTTGATCAAACTACCACTACTTTCCGGATGAGAACCGAAGATGGTAATACAACTGATATCCCTATTACTGTTGCAAGTCAGGTAAGAACTGATTGATGTGGTACCAACAGCGCCCTGTATATGCAATATAAAGAGAGGTAAATGAGGTTTAACTCAACACAAACCAAGGGCCTTTCGGGACTAACATATAGTGCAAATTTATTTTGCGTAAGGGTCTTTAGCAGTGTCACGTTCAAGCTTGGGATTTAAACCACGCCAATTGACTCGATGAAAGACCATCTACCCCCACCCCCACCACACACACACACACAGCACACCCCAAAGATCATCTACCCCCTCCCAACACACCCAAAGACAATCTACCCCTGCCCACCTCCACCCCCCGATTTAAAAAAATAATAATCATTAAATTCATAAATATTGCTGTATTTTCATTCGAATATATGAATGTCAGGAATTACAGCTTTAGGCCGAGAAGTTTCTTCTCTATGTCTGGATCAAACATGCACGATGCTGTGTATGCTTACAGTTTGTATGATAATTTCACATCTCTATTTACATAATTGTACTACATTTAGCTTGTGTCTTTGGCCGAAATACTGAAACAGTGTACTGGTAGGTTATTAAAGTGTATTTTAATGACTACGTATGAATACAGGCCATTTTAATATTCCACATGTATATGAATATTGATTTATTTACCAGAGCGAATGGAGGGACATAACTTACAGATTTGATAACGATGTCTTCAGTGGTGAAGTTGATGGAAATACGTTACAGAAAACAAATATCGGTACTTTATTACTACCTTAATATTTTATTGTTCTGCCTGGCATGCTTTAATTTGTTTGGAATATTTTTTTACATTTAGTTTAATAAGGTTGAAAAATGCATGATAGAAGTCGTGTTATGGGATAATAATGAAGTTCCCTGTCGGAAATTCCATATTTTTCCTGATGAGCGCAAAGCCATGATACCGGTTACTTGGACTGGCCAGTACAAGTTGAATAACAATAATATAATATTTTATTTCAAAGTATCTTTCAATTTGAATTTAGGTACTGGTAACATGAACTTGAATTTTGAATTTACAGGATGAAATAATTGTATATGGATGCAGATGAACATTTTGAATATGATTTTAATCCCTCAAGCACGCTTGCAAATAAGCATAGCCTAGATAATCGTTTTTTTAAAGCACTGGACACCCGTCGACTAATCAACAGATTAAGGGTAAAACCGCCTCAAATACGATGCTTCGATGGACTCTAAATTGAAAATTAGCAGCTCACAATGTCAGCCTTTGTCTCCATGGCAAATTAAATCGTAGTACACAGCTGTACTATCTGACAATATTCCTTTAAATATTCTAGGTATGATTGGTAAGAGTGAATGTGCTCTACAGATTGGTCGTGGTAACACATACAGTAATTTCAAGGGTTACATTGATTACGTAAGTATTATTAATTTTGTGGATTTATTTGTCTTATTGCTCTTGGGATTTACTAGTATTTATGAAACCATTATCCATTTGAACATTAGACCACGAAATACTAAAACATAACAGAAAATACCCAAGAATCAATCGTTCATCTTCACTGGTTTTGTATTTTATATGGACATAATTATTATATAAGCCTGCGTTTATTGGATTAGTTATGACTTGTGAATTTAAAAAGGTATTATAATGGCAGTATTACGTATAATATCATAGTGTGGGCGAAATGGTTCGAAGTGAGAAATTGAACGATTTAGTGATTACACTATTTATTTTATTTAACAGTTTGAAGTATATAATTGTTAAAGAACGGAAGTAAAGAAGTTTAAGTATCATCTTGCATGCTGCTATATATGAAGATTACGGTACTTACATATGTCTATAACTTTAATATCCTAAAAACTCTTATTTTAAATTTTGTATGATGTATTTGTAATTATAAAAAAACACCCCTTTAATTTAATTTAATTTAATGTCAGAGAAGTATATCATCATTATATTAAATGTCATAAATATGTTTATTTCTCAATATCTTATTAATTTAATGTGATCACCATGTTTTGTATTTGTTGGATATTTTCTTCTTTTGAAATAATATAACTGTGAAATACTCTATAATTATTGTTTATTGTATCTTCTAAGCCAAATGTCTGCTTTTTAAAATAAAATTCTTATGTAATTAGTGATATTTTGTTATGTTAAAATACCATTATCTTTCTAACATTCTTTCTTGCGGGTCAGTGCGAGATATTTTTTATGCAATAAGAGACTATGTTTATCGTAGATTATCCGTTTAGTGTTATATACTCACAAAGCTTCTCAAGTTTTGAATGTTATATCGTCACTACCATATATTATCGTACACACTACCATGTATAGTACAGGCTAACATTTATGAGGAAGGGAGCAAAATTTAGCATTACATTTTGCACAGAAACATTAAAATCCAAATTCTCAGCTGCATAATTGGTCCATATAATGAGTTGCATAATGAAAGGACCGGTTCACGTACACAGACTGCATTTGTATTATTAACCAATTGTGTTATAGGGGTAGGAAAAAGAAGTGTAACGTTCCGATTTTGGAAGACCATCGCTTTAGACAGCTCCCTAATACTTTTCTAGTTAGAGTTAACCGACAAAAGACGACACGACAGGTATTTTGTCATCATCGCCACATCGTTTACACCCATCCATTATAATAATATACAGGTGATACGCGCAATGGAGCAATAATATAATCCCTTTCCACCAATGGAAACGGCAGCAAAAGCCACCCATATGACGTATATATGATGACACACCCTGTATCTTTTCATACCCGAACAAATAGATGTTTGAGTTACGTATTTGCTAAGAAATTCAATACAAAACAGGCCATTTTTTTCAGAATTAACACCTCTTCCTGGATTGTTCTATATAAGGCGTTTGCTTCATTGCCAAGGATGGTCGATAATATTTGCCAAAAGTCTTTAAACTAATATGTATTTAGTAAAAATAATAATTACAAAATCATAAAGAATTAAAGAATTGATTATGCAGGTGTTGTCACATTACTCAGAATATATCATATTCATTGATAACTCTATGGGATCTACATGTAGAAAAAGTGTCAGGTTGCAGAGTTCAATAGTTCGTTCACTATTTGATATTAATGCAATCCCTTGTTCTGCAGGTGAATAATATTAAAGTGGAGTTTCAATAAGGTATAAGTGTATTTGACTATGCTATTAGCGAATTTTGTGTATAATTGACATCTGATTTAAATGAACAGTTACATTGGATTTCAAGATTAAATATGCCGTGGGGTTCAAGAATGATTTTGTGTTCAAAGAATTCACCCGTTTGAAACTCTAGATTTTTCAACACACAGCCTAGTTTTAAAGTGGGGTGGTGTTGGAAATATGCGTCTGTCGGCAACTATTTCCCATCTCCCCGCCATCATGAAAAATATGTTAGACGACGGGTGTCTGGATCTACATAGCGAATGAATTCATTTTTTAGTGCGCCCTTTCTATCCCCCATGCCACGTGGACCTTCGACGTTCAATTTGATTGGCCTTTTCTGTCAATTTTCATCGGACATAAAAGTGTGGAAACGGGGCTGAATCCATATTTGTTGAAAATGAATGACAATTAGCCGAGTTATAGTATACGAAACAAAAGAGAAAGAGAGAGAGAGAGAGAGAGAGAGAGAGAGAGATGGGTTTAACGTCCACTCGACAAAACTAGGTCATTTCGGGACTAACATATGGTTTAATTTTATTTCAATAATTCGCTTGAGCGTAGGGGTCTTTAGTAGGGGGAGAAAAACGGAGGACCTGGAGAAAACCCACGAGGTTGGACCTTCGACCCTACTCCTTGTCACGTACCACGAAACAGACAAACAAGAACGTGAAAAAATATTAATCAGGTAGTTCTGCTCATCTTTTATTTCTAATTAAGACTTAGTCTTTTTTAGAAGAAACTTTCATATCATAAGTTTTCCTGTGGTGAGTGAAGAAATTAAATGAAATAGGGTTTTTAGAAGAAACTTTCATATCATAAGTTTTCCTGTGGTGAGTGAAGAAATTAAATGAAATAGGGTTTTTAGAAGAAACTTTCATATCATAAGTTTTCCTGTGGTGAGTGAAGAAATTAAATGAAATAGGGTTTCGTCTCATCCAAACGACTATACGTCATCCCTTGCCAGGGACTCTTAACTTGCACCACTAACAAGAGGGAACCACGCCGGGTAATCCCGATGAACATTCTCGGTCAATGCAGGGATCAAACACGGAACTTCCAAGTTATTGAACATGTGACCTCCAAATTATCGAGTCAACTAGCCACCGTGATACGAAGAGTGAGCGTTGCTGCTATGTATTATGTTACATGTTAGGTCACATTATTCCAGATTCAAAACCAATTACATACTTTGGGACGATACATATTAAAAGGTATTCATGTGAAAAAGCACAGGTGATGAATGGAAATTATTAAAAAATATTTTTTGATGTTTACACTACAATAAGAACGCCTCTCGAGATTAACCATGTAGGTATGTTTATATATACCGCAATAGGATTAACAATATTATCGTTATATTATTGCCCGTGTCGATACATTTTTCTTTTAAAATCCTTTGTTTATTTATCTGACTTTATAGCTGTCGCGATATTACAGAACAGTAGGGTTTTTTTGGAGCTCTTTTTCGGGTTTGTGGGAAATTAAGTAAGATCCCAAAAGACTCATTTGGAATATAAAATCTAATTATTATTTCAATAATAAAATGTCGAGTCACTATGCTCGGCTGCTTATAGTTAAAGAGAAAACCCCACAAAATTATTTCATTTGAAACTCCCTAGAAGTTTAATTATGGTTTGTATTCTAGCTTTGCTCGACCCGTTAGGTCACAAAAATATGCACGTTTCGTACCACCAAGTAACAATATATAACATAAAATGTTATAAACCCTCAGAATGTACAATCAACATATTATTATTCTTTATCATATAAAAACGTTAAAAGTATATTTGCATTTGTTTATCTTCAAAGAGCTAGAGTAAATATAAATTTAATTTGCTCGCCCAATTCAGCTGTCTTTCTTTTCTTATATTTAGGTAATATTAGGTACTTTCACCACACAGTGAGAAAACTTAGCTATACCACTGACAGCCTGGTTATTTTGTACAAATTTTAATATTTAAATGAAATGGGGTTTGACATCCTCCTTTTCTGCACCGACTGGGCTTATGGAGACGGGTGTATCACATACAGTGTGTTATGAGGGAAATTTTTCCCGGACAGCGGCGCTACGGCCTACTGTTATATCTGGCCTTGCCAGCCCCCACCTCCACCCGACCCTCCTTCACCATTAGAACAACGACAAGCATTTTAAGTTACCCTCATGTTTTGTTATTTTCTGTTAAACATGCATTATGCAAGAGGTAAATCTGCCTGTTGCAGGTCTTTCTTTAGGCCTGAAATGTTATTTAAATTATTAATTAGACATAAATTAATTATCCAAACCATAATCAACTCTCGATGCCATTGTAAGCCTCCGATATTTAGTGGGTCTGAATACATTTTGTGATAATTTTACGTAAAAATGAATAATCGAGAACCGAGTAATGACGTTCCGGGCTAGCTTAAAACTGAATCGCTAATATCTCGGTTCAGAGTGAAGCAAACATGAAATAAAATGAAATGGGGTTCAACGTCTACTGTTCTGCTCCTGACTGGGCTAATGAAGACTGGATCTTTTACGTGCACGCCAATGTGTACACGGAACCTCGATCTTTCTTCCCATCCGAACGACCAGACAGCTGTTTCGACACAAACTAGGTCATTTCGGGACTAACACATGCTTCAATTTTATTTCAATAATTCGCTTGCGCGTAGTGGTCTTTAGCAGTGGGAGGAAACCGGAGGACTCGGAGAAAACAAACGAGGTTGGACAGGCGCCCCAAATCCTTGTCACGTACAATCGGGGATTCGAACCACGCCAGTTGACTTAATGACAGACCTTATGATACAGCGTGCACGTGCTAACCATTCGGCCATTCAGTCCCCCCATATGGATTATAAATTTCAGCTGAAAGTAAAAATCGACCCAGCGATTATAATTATAGCCCATTGCATATTTTGAAGCATTTTTCCAATTTATGGCACATATTTCTGTATACTTAAGTAAGTTGTGCTAAGAGAAGATGTGAACAATATTTAGGTCATTTTGAGGTTAACATTTTGTATTTTCTTTATTCCATTATTAATGTGATATCCGTTTCCGTCTGCGCTTATTCCAATTTCAACTATAAGTTATACAAAGGATCTCAGGGACCAATGTACTAACAACACACACCCAAGGACTCCCGTTCACCCAACCCCACACCCCCCCGCGACCCCCGTTTGCTCTAGATAAGACATTTATTCTGTTAGTCCGTATTTTAGCATCACAGAACAAATTATTTGAAGAATAGAAATAACACGAAATATCGTTTATTTGCTTAGAAAAAATACAAAAAGATAAATAAATATAAAAAACAGGTTCATCTGACATTGTCGACATAACATGGCATTACATTAAATTTCTGAAACAAACATAACCAAATGTTATTGAGATTCTTATATCCGATATGGCCTTACTAGTAATGACATTATACATTAGATTATTTCTATTCAACATTAACAATGGCACAATTAAGTTGTAACTATAAATTATTCCTTATCGTACAGCAACGATTATTTAAAATGATCAATTAATGCTTGTGTTAAAAGGCAAGTATTACAATGTACATGTTAGTTACTTTAACAGGACTAGTCATAATTAATTTCGTATTTCATTGGCAGGAAAATAGAACAATAAATTAAGCACGATCAAATAAATTAAAAAAATTGTCAAATTTGAACAACTTCGATCTCGTATTCCAATGGTATCTCCACCCGTCCTATAATATATGTTGACACTTTTCTACTCTATAGTTTCACTCTTTCGAAATCTTGTCAACTTTTAACACATATATACCTCGATCTGTTGGAGAAACAAAATCCATATCAAAATAAGATCATACACAAATATAACGTCTAATTAAGAGTATCGGCAATAGTCTAGTCATATTGCCCCAAATCCACAGAGTGTGCTAATAGCGCATAGAAAGCTATATACAAAAGTTTATTCGCTCTTGAGTTTTTGGTTAATTTCTGTAATGAATTTGGAAAAGATGTCTTTTTGGGCGAGATTTGAAGTTTGGCAAAGATGTCACAAAACAAGTAAATTCCACCTTTACGTAGCGGCAACAGCAAATGCGTTTAGTCGAAAGGTTTCATGGGTAGACATATTGTCAATATCCATGTTTTAAGGCAATAATGAACACTAGTTAGATTATCTTGCGATTGCGATTAATTCATTAAATGAATATACTTACGTAATCAATGTAACCCTTGAAGTTACTGAATGTATTACCACGCCCAATCTGCAGAGCACATTCACTTCGACCAATCATACCTACAAAACATAAATCACAAATTACAATTTTTGAAGGAAAAATAAAACAATTCAGTGAAAAAATACCCAATCTCGCGCACAACACTCTTCACTATAAGTGAAGGTTTTGACATTCAAAACACAGGTCGAAGTTACTGGGTATAAAATCAGCCCGATTTCTGAATTAAATGTTTATGTAATAGAAGTAAAGACCGTGTATAAAGTGTATATGGATAGCAGCTTTTCGGCTTTACTTAATTTTCAAAATCACAACACTTAGCAAAACAAGTATATGGGACTTACCACTAGTTCCCATTTGTTGAGTGTTACCATCAACTTGACCAATTAAAACACCATTCACTAATCTGTATTCAATGACTTTCCATTGACTCTGCAACGATCAAGAAATTATCTATTAATATATGCCTGTAGACTGTCTATATTATTATAGTGATATACCAGATTAACCAGATTAACCCATCGGTTAATCTATGGAACATTGTTTTACATCTCATGTCACCGAGAGAGAGAGAAATGGGGTTTAACGTCCACTCGACACACACTAGGTCATTTCGGGACTAACATATGGTTTAATTTTATTTCAACAACTCGCTTGCGCGTAGGGGTCTTTAGCAGTGGGAGGAAACCGGAGGACCCGGAGAAACCCCACGAGGTTGGACAGGCGACCCTACTCCTTGTCACGTACAACCGGGGATTCGAAACCACACCAGTCGACTCAATGTCTCGTGTCAACACTTTTAATGGTATAAAATTACAATTACAGAGGTTGCTTGTTGATAGAATGATATCTGTCCCTCCCTGACCACGCAACGTGCAAACCTGCGTACATGACACAAACTACACAGACATTGCAAGCAATAAGAAACACGTACCAAGTCAAGTAAATGGGCCCGGGGGCTAAACTTAATTGTCGAAATGAAAAACAAAACAATGATTTACAGGAAAAACACAGCTATACCTGTCTTGATCTTGACAATAGCCATCTCCCAGGGCCTCTCGGGCGGGAGAAACTGTTTGAAAAATAACTATAAAATTGTGCGTTCATTAGTATTTTCTGGTGTTTCTAGCTTATGCACAAACTTAACATCGTACAATCTTGCCGATTCCTCAACGACATCGTGAATTCTAGATATAACAAGAGACTCAAAACTTAGAAAAAGCCACTAACTACACGAGGACATTAACTACTTTAGGGGCCCCAAGCCAAATCACACTCCCAGATTCCTTTTAGTATGCTTACCTGTGTTCCTACGGGTACTGGGACGTTAGTACTTTGACCACCGTCTGTTCTCATACCAAAAGTAGTGGTAGTTTGATCAAGTAGAATAGATACAGAACCTGGTTTACCACAATCACGATTAGTTACCAGAGCTTGCTGTCCTAAAACTGTACCCTCTGTCCTATACCTCATCTTTATCGTAAACGTAGACCCAAGAGCAACATTGGAGAAACGTAGGATTCTCAGGCCGCTATTACCATCGAAATAAGCTTCACCGTTCTCAATTACAACTCCTACATTCTCAACCCAGTTACCATTACCAGATTCGTCTACTACACCGTTATCAAATGGTAGCTTAACTGTGGCTTTGCATTCTATAAAGAGGCATAAATAATAGTATTAGAACTAAGAATCTGGTATAATTGGATACATTACGTTTAGTAGTAGTATCATAATACCGTTATCGAGACAAAAAGCTTCCAAATACTTTTAAATTCTTCTTACTTTAAAGGAGTTAAATATCTCACGGTAAGATAACAACATCAATATTGATTGGAATGTACCAATAATTCGTGTCAAATACTAATGTTGTTATCTTACCGTGATTTTAATGTTGAAGACTGTGGATAATTATCGTTAATCATTTGTTGAATGTCTGCCAATACCTAATTTTAAATTAAAACAAGTTTACATAATAACTTTAGATCTATTATTTGTTCATTAGAAACTGCATTTAAAATTGCATCAAATAGAAAATATGTTAATCGAAAGATCACTCAGATACCACAATATCATTATATATATAATATTTACCATTTGATACTGATGTTGAAGTAGTAGCTTCAGTAACATCTAAGAAATCCGTACATGCACACGAAGTTGGGTTAAATCCTACACCAGCTCCACATGGTCTTTTCATCCATCCAATTCCGGGAACATTTTCTTCAAAGTAAGATGGATTACCGGCGATAGAACGCTTATTACAATCTGGAGTAAAAAAAAGTTATGCCTATAGTTAGTGATGCACATTGGAAATAAAATAGATGCTGACAATTATAGACATCTCTCGCGTGCAGCACTATGTGACAATTCGAAGGCATAAGACTTTTACCAGAATAACTGGTTCCGTTTCTACAGGTCTGTATAGTTTCTTCTCCATAAGCATCTCCGTAAGAGATTCCGATTCTCTACATTTTAGACACGTGTGAGTACATACTAAATGACGAACAATCTACCAGAAATTCCACGTGAGATCATCAACACGCTTTTGTTATGTACTATTCAGGATAATGATGATGAATTAATGATTGAAATATATCAAACCCCAATTCACTTTAATGAGTAATATTCAAAATTAAACCATGAAATCATATCATTAAAGACGAAATGTCGCAAATAGCTTATGAAATTATCTAACAACAAAACTATACTGCTACTAAGATATTAACCTGTGTTTGGCTGGTCATTAGCTTCTCCTGGGCACATATCTGTACAACCTGCATCACGCTGACAGCTTTTTAACAGATCATTGAATGAATAACCCCTATCACAGCACATAGGTATAAATGATTTGTCAGCACAAGAACGATATTGACGACAGTTATCTTCTACTTTGTATAGTGTGGTTCCTGGATTTCGGCAAGGATCTGTAAATGCAAATGAATAACTATGGATACTCGTGCATTATATTGCAAGAAGCTTAAAGTCCGCGTTCACAATAAATAGTGTATACATGTAGGAGGACCGCACTACACGCAAATAAAAACCTGTTTTAAGACCAACCCGCGGATAAGACAAATTATTGACATTGCAAGAAATAAACAACAACGGATCCGGGGGGGGGGGGGGCATTCGTAAAGGTCCCCTGCGCTGTACAGTCCCAGGTCTGTAATGATTACAGATAATAACACTTATTGTCGGTGCTGTAAGTATAACAAGTTTAAAAGATGCCCGGCTTGTACACTTGTGTATACCAATACAGACAATTTAATTGGTCAATAAGTACGCGTTATCTGAACACCGGCGTCAAACAAGAATATGACAGATGTCAATGCAGCACCGCATAAGAAATAAAACGATACACAATTTTCGTCTGATTTTAAAGAAGAAATATATGTAAGATATAGAGAGATCACCATTCTGGCTATAATAGTTCAAAATAGATAACGAATTATTATTTTAAAAAATCCTTCATATAATGTTTATGAATAACTTCTTTGAGTGGCATTTAGCAATTGTTATACGTAATCAACACAATAGCATAATATGGAACATAATTACTGTTCTAATTTAAAGCGATGTTTCGTTGAGGTTCCTCGACATTAACAAGCAAACGAGAATGGATATAATATACAGATAGTTTTTATATAATATGTTTATGACTATTTAAAAAACAACGAAGCTTACCTGAAGTACAATTTACAGCATCTGGATAGTTACAAATAAAATTTTTCATATCCCAAAAAAGTCCCACTCCACATGACCGTACAAGGGCTTTAACGGTTCCATCTTCAATAGTACATTGAAGGAATTTTTCACAGTTTGTTGGGTGGGGAAGATATCCTATTCCATTTGGCATTAAACATCCTTCACACAACTTTGAATCTAGCTCACCGACCTTATCTGTTACAGATGTTCCCGGGGTAGTTATTCTGGTTGTTGTTGTTGGTGGTGTTATCGTGGTAGTTGTACGTCTTGGGGTTGTAGTAGTGGTTGTTGTTGTAGTGGTTGTTGTAACTAGTAACAATAATAGAGAAAGTTCAACTTTGATGATTTATTAATAGTATTCAACGCACTTTTACATTAACGACATTGATATCATCACATTATGAACATTCTACTTATAAACTTTGAATTTGATTGACTTTTAGGGCCAATGGTAAGCTTAGTTTTTTCTAGTTTTGCTTTAAACTCCCAAAAGAACTAAACTCCGTTTTCTTAAACCATGTGAGTATGCTTACGCGTTTCAGCAGTCTAGATACTTTGAAGTTTTTTACGATCGATCGGTATAATGTAGTATTCAGATTATATCTGTCAATTTATATTTTACTTTTACTTTGAACATTTGGGATTTATCTTAGTTTGAACATTTGTGTTCTTTTGCATTTATGTATTTATTTATTTTTATTGTACTGGGCATTTGAGAACTCTTTGTGGAAATTTCGCTATATAAAAATTCATAATAACAATAATGGTTGACATGAATTATCTGTTAAGTAGAACCAAATAGGAGAACATAAAATAAAAATTTCGGATTTAAATAAAATTCTACTTACCTGGGCAAATCTGGGGCAAAAGATCTGAAAGGGTAGCACCTAAAGTGCTGAAATTTTGGGATTTTATACTTTGTTGAGGCCTGGAGGCGATGGTTTGAAGTTCGGGTTCGTCGAGTTCATTTCCAACACCAACGGAATACATGTCTACCCCTATGGTTTTGGCTAGATTAGCCAGTCTAGCGGTTTCTTGTTTATCTTTAGAGATTCCGTCAGTAATAACTATACCAATAGTTTCAACTCCTCTCCTTCCGCTGCCTTGAATCATATCAATCATAGCGGATAGACCCAGGTGAGTGTTGGTACCATCTCGTGGCTGTCTGAGTGCACCAATCTGAGAAGCAAGCGTGTTTTTTTCGCCACTGAAATTGATTTTGTCCGATACTGTGGTACTGTATAGAACCAAACCAAATCTTGTATAACTTTTGTCAACCTTAAGTCGGATTGTTAGATCTACTATAGCTTGCTTTAGTTTACTAAAATCGGCTTCTGATATACTATCTGAACCATCAACAACAACTACTATATCTAATACATCTTGACATCCTACCAAGAAAAAAAGAAGAAAAATCAAAGCCGTGTTTACAATTCATAATTTGTAAACCCAGAATATATTAAGTATACAAAAACCATGCAAACTGTTGTTTTAGTTCTTAGGCCTGTAAACTGGTGTATATAACTACGGAAGCAAACAGAATTGCTCCGATCCATCCGAGACTTCCACTGCGATCCGGTCCCCAACGACCGTGTAAAAGGAATAGCCACACAATCTTACTTACGCCCGATGAGTTCGCATAAGAACGAAACAAGTAGCTTCACGATTTTTCTAGTTTATAAAGTATATTATTATAACTGGGGTTTAAATTTCACACCAGGAGTCATCAACGAACTTTTTGAATTGTAAATGAAAATAACTAATTTTTATAACCAACTTTATGATTTCTATTTGCAAGTAAGTTTAATAATACCTGACACACTAGCTCCTCCATTGTAATTCATAATCATAACCAGCAATAACCCCGAAATCCAACATTTAAATGCCATTTTTCTGAAGAAAAAGGTTAAGTAAATACAATCGGTATTTTAGAAAATTTGATCATAATTGTTACATCGTTAGAATTTTTTTAATTTTTAGAACCATTGATCTAATAGGTCGAATACTAAAAATAAAGTATTGATATAGCTGGAAGTGAAACAAAAAAAAAGTGCAATACATTTAACCCAGTAGGCATTTATTTATGGCATTATTACTAAAAAAAAAAAAAAAAAAAAAAAAAAAAATACTAGACATAATGGAGGCCTGATAAATGATAATTATTCGATTCTCTAATATTTTAACTTTGTATAAATATAGTTATATCATAATAATATCATTTCCACCCTATCATCGGTTTATAATATCGTGTGTCAGTTTAAAACGATAACACCCAAACATCTCCTTAGTTAATATCATACAACTTTGGCAACGGTTGTACATTTTTTTTAAAACCTTAATTAAAAGAACGATCTCAGGGTCTCATTTGACAGACAAAAAAGAAAAGCTATTATTTAAAAATAGCAAACTTTTAAATATAAGCTCAAACGACCAACTGAATACTGTCACCAAGAGGACGACAATATTTTTCTAAATTGAAATAGAAATAGATATTCTACCATTTTAAATAACCAATGAAGTGTTGCAAGTAAATGATTTATTAATTATATTTTAAAACAGATAACCAGTTACGGAACTACAGAATCTACTTTGTTACAGCATAAATAAACACATTTCAAATAAAACGTTTAACAGATTCGTGGCATTTACAATTGGATTTTCGAAAAAAAGAAAATAATAATAATAATTATAATAATAATATATATATTCCACAGATAACTGCGCTAATATAATTTTTTTTATTTCATATTAAGAATATTTGGTAAAGAAAACGTTTTTACTTACTTAGTTTTGCAGCTTTTTTAGCCAGTCTTGAAAACTTACACTGATGTTTCTCCGGAGTGTAATAAGACCCCAAACAGTGGGATTCGTATTTATAGCGGATGCCATTCCCTAATTTATACTGTTGACAAACATACGTCACTATCTACTTCAACCCACTTTTATCTCAGCAAACTTTAATAATACTGATCTTAATTCAATTGTCAAATTGTTAAGCAAATAAAGTCGTTTTCTTCATCACCACAGTTTATATAAATACGTACTGTTTGATGATTTAAAAGAGGTTTTACGTGGACTGTAACCAACCACTTATCAACAATGACCAGCTATTGAAACCTCCGCAAATAACGACATCACCCTTTAATTTCAGATCAACCCTTGTTAACTAATAAATTGAACTATATTCATTTACATTAAATAGTAATATTGCTCTGTTAATTGACACGTCATGGTGAATCAAGCTTATGGTTTTGAGATTAGAATTCGCCCGTCGTTATCCTACAGGGAAAGTGACCCAAGTTGTAAGTAATCTAGGAAGGGAGCGGCAGATCACGAGAGATGTCACCAAACAACTAAATAAATTTGCTCTTGGATTAATAGCGCTAAGTGCAATTGCGTTTTCTGTTACTTTGTTGGAGAGTTATGAATGACAGTAAATGCACTGCCCGCTTCTTACAAGAAACAACAATGGACAAGTGTCAAGCATTTATCCGTAATGATGATGGGTGGAGGCGGGTTGATACATAAAGTTACCATAGTCTGCTTTGCTTCAATTTTAAATACTTCACCCTAACTTGGGCGTGCATAAAAAAGTTCAATCAGCTACGCATAGTAATGCCTATACAAAGTACACATTCGTTAAAGAGTAATTTGATGTAATCAAATACATCTTTTGTTATTTTAACTATTTCGGCCATTCAAATAATGTCAATGCATAGGCTTAGGTCAGCGAGAATATCAAACAGAACAGAGAAAAGGAGAACAACAAGGAAGAAGCTTTAAACGTTTCTTTTATCTCAGGATTGTTCCCTTTACAATATTGTAATCAGGCGATGAAAGTGTGTTACCATAAACTTTAACTTTGCCATTTTCCAAATCCGCATGTTGTTGGGCGCAATGGTATGGAAGACCAAACAGCTCTTTATTCAATATTCCTAATTCTTGGTTCTTAATTCATAGTCCTTGAATCTTATTTCTTCATTTGTGCACTAAAATTAATATTTGTATCTTAAAATCATTATTTGTTTTACAAATTAGACATTTGTCATATTAGATTTGTAAAATGTATTTTTGTTTAATTTAATTTTATTCTAATATAAAGACACAATTTATTTCAGTAAATCAAAAAAAAAAAAATAATAATAATAATTTACATTTAAATTTCATCCTAGGCAGGCATACAACGAAAAACAAATCTCGAATAACAAATTTCTAAATACAAATCTCCAAATACAAATCTTGCAAAACATTTCTCCAAAAACATTTTTTCAATAACATTTCTTCAATAACATTTCTCCAAAAACATTTCTCGAAATTCATCGAACCGGAACATTATGACAACATAAGCGGAAATCAACCTGGCACATAATAAGTCAGCATACAACAAAGGAGAATCGAGCAAACATATTATATACAATAAGAAATGTCGCTGGATGACCGTGACTTTAGTGAAATCTGAAATCGCGTGGGTGTTATATATATATATATATTGTTAATCTGATCAAGCATTAAATAAATTAAGTTGAAAGTAGTCTATTTTTAGTAATTAGGTTATTATTTGATAGTGACATATTTCTTTGGACAAACGAAAGAGGGCTTTATCTCTTCTAAATCATGTTATCATGAATGTGCCAGTAAAATAGCTAATACTCGTATATTCAAAGAGCGATAGACAAATACTTTCCGGTGAAGCATTTTACGATAACTGGAATTTCGTATTAAGACGCGTATTTTGACTTTTAAATATCCCCTCCATTCACTGAATAGAGTTCAGACGATCCAAATTATATCTGCTTTAACAAGGTACGTAAATATGAATATGTCAGAAAATACTTTCAATTTATTTTCTTTCTCGAAGGCCCGGCCCGATTAGCCACACTACGCACGTGGTTTCACTAGAGGCGCGGTCATCGAACGATTTTTCTTATTGTATATATGTTTGCTCGATTCTCCTTTATTGTATGGTGACTTATTGTATGCCAGGTTGATTTCCGCCCATGTCGTCATAATATTCCGGTTCGATAGATTTCGAGAAATGTTTTTGGAGAAATGTTATTGAAGACGTACTTTCGGAGAAATTTTTTGTAAGATTTGTATTTGGAGATTTGTATGTAGAAATTTGTTGTTCCAGATTTGTTTTTCGTTGTATTTCTCTGATGAAATGTAAATGTAGACTAATTTTTGATTTTCTAAAATTAATTTTATCGTTATATTAAAATGCAATTAAAATACATTTTACAAATCTGATATGACAAATGTCTGATTTGTAAAACAAATATTGATCTTAAGATACAAATGTCGAAACACAACAACATAATGAGGAAATAAGAATTAAGGACTATGAATTAAGAAATAAGGACAACGAACAATGAATAAAGAGCTGTTTGGCCTTCCATACAATAGCGGACACATTGGATAACAAAGACATAATCATCGTTGCCAACATGGCGACCTTGACCTGATACTCATAATATTTTAGAACTGTTACTGACAATTGGGTGCCAAGCTTTCTCTTCGGACAAATGTAAGGTAGGAATTGAAAACCCCCCCAACAACTTCGCTTTGTTAACTCTATAGACTGAGGATGTTTCTCACACTTAAGATACATTATGTAAGATTTAGATAAAGAACTGGCAGTTCTCGTGATAGAATAGGAAATGAAAAGGGGATATTATGTTGAAAATGTCCATCAAATTACCTCATTTTGAGCGGAGTTATAGCCGTTTAAAGAACATTGTAGTGTCGCTTGTCGGGGGGTTGGGCGCTCGAATGGTTAACGCGCGTGTGTTGCATCATAAGGTACGTGGTTTCGATTCCCCGCTTGTAAGTGACAAGGCGTCCATCCAACCCTGTGGGTTTTCTCCAGGTCCCCCGATTTCCTCACGCTACTAAAGAACCCTACGCAAATGCGAAATATTGAAATAAAATTGAACCCCATGTTAGTCGCTATCTGACCTAAATTGTGTCGAGTGAACGTTAAACCCCGTTTCTTGCGTGTCATTACCGTTGTTACGATAATAAACTATGTCTCGATTATCCATTTTGTAATTAAATTATTAACTGCCAATCTTGTTTAAATCCGTTGAAAATCAAAACCACCCGATGGTCTAAAGGGTTAATTATGGGCTTGGCAAATGAATAAATGTCTAATTACTGATTTATATAACATTTGAGGCCAAACGAAAGATCTGCAATAGGCAGATTTGGCTCTAAAATAAGTTGCTGGCTCACTAACCAGCATGCACCAAGTTTGATTCAGGTGATTGCTGAAAAAATTCCGGGAAATTATCGCCCTGGCAGTGGTGACCGACAAGGAACAAGGTTGGGAAGACAAAAAGTATCAATGTACACGTAAAAGAAACAACCCAGCAAAATTCCCCTGGCTATTGATGCAGGGTGGGTGGGGCGAAAAACTGATGCCCCGAGTACACGTTGGCGTCCACGTAAAAGAACCCTTGGCAGTTTAGTTGAAATAAAAGCAGGTCGTAGCACCGCTGTATGGGCTACATTTCATTCATAGCATATTGTATGACGTTTAGCCCCGTTGGCATAGAACAATAAGACGTTAAACCCCTTATCACTTGATTTATTTGTGTAATTTTAATGTTGGTAAATTGGAGTCACTTTATCAATGGTGAAGAAATAAACTGAGGTTTTACGTCCTACTTTTCTGAATACGGCTTTATGAAGACGGGCATAGGCCATGCAGTGTGCTATGGGGAAACAGCGGCGCTACGGTCTACTCTTATATCCAATTCCAATTGTTAAAGAGTTCTTTTACGGGTACGCCAATGAGTACACGGAACCTCGGGGTTTCGTCCCAGCCGAACGACTAGGTAACTGTCCCAGTCAGACCCTCCGCCCTGCACCACTGACAAGAGGAATAAAATAAAACCAAGTACGAACAATCCAAACCATTAGTCAAAATTCGAAGTCCTAAAAAACGGTATAGGCAAACTAGTGTAATCAGCGAATGGACTGTTCACCGTGTACAAAATATACGACAAACAGTGGTAACAGGTGTCCTGAAGAGTAAGCTTACATTGCCTGGGGCCACACCCGCCATAGCTGCATCCAAACTATTAGACGAAATCTCGGTAAAATAGCATAATTGGTCAATGGACTATCCGTATGCAAAATGCACGCGATAAACAGTGTTAACAGGAAACAACACTCGAAAATCCCGGGAAAATGTCTCAAACAAAAACCGGGAGTGAACCCGAGACCGCCAGCTAGCGAACCGGTGTCTTATTCACTCAGCCCCCACGGCTCCCTCAATGGTGAGGGGGAGAAATGGGGTTTAACATCCACTCGACTCAAATATATGGTTCAATTTTATTTAACCTCTGTCCCCACATGGTCAAAATTGAAGGTGAAAATGGGTATATTTTGTACGGTTTCAGTGTGCATTGAATTTCGAGACTGAATAATTGGAAAAGTATATATCCCATAGACCCAGAATCTTTTGTAAATTGATAAAAGACAAGCTGGTATTAGCTATGTCAATTTTGTAGTTTGTGTATACAATAGTGACTTTGCCAGAGGCTGTGGAAATCCTAAAAATAAAAGTGAATAGTTGATTTGTTCCACATTTTGCCACCTGGTGGCACGAACTGTGTAAATTGCACATTGCGTGTGATGCTAAATTCGTAATCTACACCAAACGTTGTCTTATATTACAAAGTAAGAGAGTTCTACTCCTATTAGAAATGTGAGTTTAAAGCACCTGAAAACCCGCAAAAAAAAATTACTGAATTTATGATCCGTTTCAGTACCCTAATATCAAATGGCCATATCTCAGCGAGTTTTCGACCTAGAGAGGTATATTTTTTTATTTGTTAGCTTAAAGCCATATACTATAACATATATCTTTTAATA